CTGTGAGCAAGTGACAAGCAGCATCTGGAACTATTCCAAGCAATATTTACTATACATGGGCAAAATGGTACAGTACCAGTAGTTCTCCCCAAAATCTTCCATAATGGAAAATGTGTCTATGCGGAAATCCTTGTTGACACAAGTAGTTGAAGAATTGTGATGCTCCCATTTGTGATAGAAGCAGCATGAAATTGATGGCAGAACCTAAATCTGTAGCTTCTGACTGCTTTCTGTACCCATCTAAGAGCCCTTCTGTTCTTGTTTTTGGAATTGCTTCCTGCTCTTCAAGTTTGGAAATATTCTTATGTTTCTTGCATTCACTGCTTGTTTAAGATTTCCACATGGTTTTTCAATAATCTTCAAGTTTGGGGTCTATGAAGGCAATTCTCAATGATTTTCTTCCCCTATAAGTACTTAATTTGGAAGCATGTTTCTAAGATAGCCATCCTTCTTTCAGATTCTGTTTATAAACACCTTAGAAATGTTTATTTCTCCCAACTGATGTGTTACATAGTACGTCTTGGAAAGACATTCAGTCCCATGCTTGTTATGTCTCAATTCCGGTTCTTTGGACGATCATGGTTGACCAGCCGCTGTGAGAGGGGGGCTGGGTCACCCTTTACCGGTCCGAAACAGCATTTTACTCCTGCCATTGCCGTGAGAGGGCAATGAGGTCCTACGTGTTCCATTGGAATTCTGTTGAAGTCCGGCATTCACTCCTTCTGACTGTGATAACATCAAATTGTCCCCTGGCTATTGGCCATGGATTATCACCCCCCTTGATGTCCAGATGTACTCGGGGAATGAACTTCGTGCCCTGCGAGATTCCCCCCTCTCGCAGGTTTGGCCCTCTTTGTTATCGAGGGCCTATCTTGATGACGGACTTTGGAGCCCCGAGAGATGGCATGTGGCAAAGAAGAGTTTGAGGGGTTTTTTAAGTGGGTTTTTTAGTGGGTTTTTAATAAAAATTTTAAGGGGTTTGGGGGGATTAGGGTGGGTTCTGGGGGAAATCCACTGGGTTCAAGACCAGCCTCAGTGAAGGGCTGCGACATTAGGGACGTAGAACCGGAGGTCGGGGAGGGGGTTGGAGTTCGATTTAAAGAGGGCTGTTCCATCAGTATAGTGAGTGGGAGGGGCAGATATGGCGGAAGCTGGGGACCACATCATGTTCGGGGAATGCGCACTCGCTATCTTAGAGCGATTGCGCACTCTGGTCCCCAATGCTTTTCTCGTTCCCCAGGCTGTCCAGATTCTCAGGGCCAGAGCCTTCAGCTGATGTTATGCAATGCCAGGTCCGTTGTTAATAAAGCCCCCCTCATTCATGATCTTATTCAGGAGGGGGAGGCGGACCTAGTGGGCATTACGGAGACCTGGTTGGGCCAGGAGGGGGTAGTTCCCCTCATGGATATATGCCCACCAGGCTTCCGTGCATTCCATCAGCCGAGGGATCAGGACAGGGGCGGGGTGGTGGCGGCGGTTATTATAAAGGAAGGTCTGGATCCAAGGGAGACCGCTGTTCCACAGAAAGCCGGATGTGAGTCCCTCTTTGTGAAGTGGGGTCGTGGAGTACAGATGGGCTTGTTGGTCACGTACCTGGCTCCCTGCCACGTGGCAATGGCCCTGCCCGAGCTGCTTAACGTTATAGCCGAGGTGGCGGTGGATACCCCCAGACTTGCTATCATGGGGGAGTTCAACCTGCCATCTATCGGTGAAACGTCTGAGGTGGCTCGAGAGTTCTTGGCTTCCATGACGGCCATGGACCTTACTCAGTTAATTCATGACTCCACTCACACAGGTGGACACACTCTGGACTTAGTTTTTGTCTCTGGTCAGTGGTTGAGTGGCCTTGATTTAGGGGATATAGCCATCGAACCCTTGTCATGGTCTGACCACTCGCTCCTTCGATTGGACTTTCTAACCGCTGCACCCCGCCGCAGGGAGGCGGGACCGACCAGGTGGTTCCGCCCCAGGCGCCTGATGGACTCTGATAGGTTCCAGATGGAGCTTGGGCCATTTCCTGAGACTCTGGCTCATGACTCGGCTGAAGACCTGGTGGCCGCCTGGGATAGTGCGGCCGCCGGGGCTTTGGACCGTGTCGTGCCTTTGTGGCCTCTGACCCGGCACCGAACTCACCTAGCTCCTTGGTTCTCCGAGGAGCTGAGGGAGATGAAGCGCCAGAAAAGACGCCTGGAGAGTAGTTGGAGGACCAGCCGCTCCGAATCCGACCGAACACTGGTGAGGTCTCATATTAAGACCTACCTAGTGGCGATAAAAGCGGCGAAATCTAGCTATTTTGCCGCTCTTATCGCATCATCAGGTAATCGCCCGGCCACCCTGTTTAGGGTGACGCGCTCCCTCCTCCATCTGGAGGTGCGGGATGACCCCTTGCAGGGCCGAGCTGAGGATTTTGTGCAGTATCTGTATGACAAAATCGCTGAGATTTGGGAAGGGCTGGCCTCTGACTGGGTATGTCCGGACGGGATGACTGAGGCAGGTCTTGAGAGTGTTATCTGGGAGGAGTTCGATCCTGTGGCTCCCGAAGACATGGACAGGGTCCTGGGACGGCTGAATGCGACCACATGTTTATTGGACCCGTGTCCCTCCTGGTTGGTACTGGCTTCCTGGGAGGTGACACGAGACTGGCTCCAGAAGATTGTTAACGCTTCTTTGAGTGAGGGGGTCCTGCCGGCCGCTTTGAAAGAAGCGGTTGTGAGGCCCCTCCTCAAGAAGCCCTCTCTGGATCCGGCTGTTTTGGCTAACTATCGTCCAGTCTCCAACCTTCGCTTCGTTGTGAAGGTTGTTGAGAGTGTGGTAGCGCAGCAGCTTCCCCGGTACCTGGATGAAGCTGTCTATCTAGACCTGCTCCAGTCCGGCTTCCGGCCTGGGCACAGCATGGAAACGGCATTGGTCGCGTTGGTGGATGATCTCTGGAGGGCTCGGGATAGGGGTTGCTCCTCTGTCCTGGTCCTGTTAGACCTCTCAGCGGCTTTTGATACCATCAACCATGGTATCATGTTGCACTGGTTGGAGGGGCTGGGGGTGGGGGGCACCGTTTTGCAGTGGTTCTCCTTCTACCTCTCTGACCGGTCGCAATCTGTGTTGACAGGGCAGCGGTCGATCCCGAGGCACCTTGCTTGTGGGGTGCCACAAGGATCGGTCCTCTCGCCCCTTCTGTTCAACATTTATGTAAAGCCGCTGGGTGAGATCATCCGTGGCTTCGGGGTGGAGTTCCATCAGTACGCTGATGACACCCAGCTGTACATCTCCACCCCAGGCCACCCCAACGATGCCCTTGAAGTGATGTCCCAGTGCCTGGAGGCCGTGCGGGCCTGAATGGGGAGAAACAGGCTCCGACTCAACCACTCCAAGACCGAGTGGCTGTGACTTCCGGCGTCCCGATATAGCCAGCTGACACCATCGCTGGCTATTGGGGGTGAATCACTCGCCCCCACAGAGAGGGCTCGTAACTTGGGCATCCTCCTGGACGCACGGCTGTCTTTAGAAGATCATTTGACGGCCGTGGCCAGGGGGGCTTTTTATCAGGTTCGCCTGATACGCCAGTTACGCCCCTTTCTAGATCGGGACTCCCTACGCACAGTCACTCAGGCACTCGTCACTTTCCGCCTGGACTACTGCAACGCTCTCTACATGGGGCTCTCCCTGGGATGCACCCGGAGGCTCCAGCTGGTCCAGAACGCGGCCGCGTGGGGGATTATGGGGGCGACGGGGCGCTCCCATGTGACACCTCTCCTGCGCGAGCTGCACTGGCTCCCAGTGGTCTTCCGGGTGCGCTTCAAGGTGTTGGTGACCACCTTTAAAGCGCTCTATGGCTTAGGGCCGGGGTATTTACGAGACCGCCTTCTGCCACCAATAGCCTCCCACCGGCCAGTACGCTCGCACAGAGTGGGCCTCCTCAGGGTGCCATCCGTCAGACAATGTCGACTGGCGACCCCCAGGGGGAGAGCCTTCTCTGTGGCGGTGCCCACCCTCTGGAACAACCTCCCCCCAGAGATACGTACAATAACAGACCTCCGGATTTTTTGTCGGGCCCTGAAAACTTATTTATTTCAACTAGCTGGGCTGGCTTGAGTTAAATTTTAAACTGATTTTAAATTGGGTTGTTTTTAAATTATGGCCAAAAATATTTAATCATTTTAAATTGTTTTTTAAATTTTGTATGTTCTGTTTTTTACTCTGGCTGTTCACCGCCCTGAGTCCTATTGGAGAAGGGCGGTATAGAAATGGAAACAAATAAATAAATAAATAAATAAATATTCATTGTTTTCTTATTTTAAATATACAAGCAGCTACATATGAATAGTTAAACATGCAATTTGATTTTCAGAAGTATATTCTATTTAACTTTGTACTTTGTTAGGAACTGTGCACATGCAAGCTGGAATTTGCACTGTGTTCAGTGGGTGCCAGTAGGTATAATGCAGTGGAAACTATTGCATATATAGCAGTGGTATTTCTGAGATAATTTTTAATCTGTGACTGTGTTAAAAATAAGGAACTAAATTAAAAAAACAAGCAAACATTTTTATTTCACGAGACTTAGAACTGTACACAATAGCAAAGCAATAGCACTTATAACCACTTCATAGTGCTTCACAGCACTCTCCAAGTGGTTTATAGAATCAGCATAATGCCCCCAATAATCTCGGCTCTCATTTTACTGACCTCAGAAAATGGAAGGCTGAGTCAACTTTGAGCCGGTCAGGATTGAACTCCTTTCAGGGGGCAGAGTCAGCCTGCAATACTGCATTCTAACCACTGTACCACCAGGGCTCCAAACCCCTGGTTAACATATCCAAGAACATATCAAGATCAATTGTGTTTAATTTAGTTTCTTCCCTGAAAATCTGATTGTTGTAAAAATGTAGAGAAATCAGTACAGTACATTGTTTCTGATGCCAATAACATACTGTATCTTTTATGGTTCATAGATGGCTGATTCTAACTCTCCACCCATAATTCTGCTGTTTTTCCTATTACAGACCAGATGATGTATTGCTACAACGTACACATGACGAATCTGTTCTTTTGCACTGCTTCCTTTGGCCAGTGGTCACATTCCTGGTTGGAGTCCTAATTGTGATCTTGACCATCTGTGCAAAGAGCTTGGCTGTCAAAGCAGAAACTATGAAGAAGAGGAAGCATTCCTAAATGGAGGACACCCTTCAAAAAAGGATGCGGGAATGCCATATGTGACTGACTTCTCTGGTATTCCCAGCAATGCCCATTCCCAGTGTATTGCCAACTGCTGGTCTTGCTGATGCCTAGGTGACCATGCTGTGACATGTTAACTAGTTGTTTCTGCCATTATGAAAGCAAGTGTGTTTTTTCCACTAAATGATCCTAAGATGCATCAAACCTTCATTCAAACTTAATGAAATCAAAATCTCTGATGGAGTGGAGGACAAAGTGTGAAAACCCAAATTGTGGTTGACTTCATCTTAGTAAATTTATCTTTCTTAATGCTATTATTTAGTCTTAAATATTTATTACTTCCTTTCTCATAGACTGTATTTCTCAAATATTAAAAAGTGGTTGTTTTTATTAGCATGTGTCCTTCTTTTGTGGGAGTGATTTGCTTTAGGGTCAGAAACAAAATATCGCAAAATATCAGTCTTACTGATTATTCTTGAAATTAACCATTTAAAACTCAGTATATTGTAAAATTATTTTGGGAATCAAAAATTGATTTTTGGAAATGATTCATTTTCTATCTTGCAGCCACATTTTCCTTCATATGTGTTTCTGTATGATTAAAACTGTCTATTGCGGATTCATATTTCTTAACAGGCCTTTTCCTGATTGTTACTCAAAAAGTAACAGGACAAGATTCTAGGACCCTAATTAGTTTTTTTTTTAATTTTTTCAACTATTAGAAATGGCATAAGTAGAGCAGAAAATTAGCAGCTGGCTATTAGAAGCTTCCAGCCATATATTTTTGTTCTATTTTTCCAAGGTTCTAATTTTTATTCATTTTCCTGTCTGTGTGTGCTGGCTGACCAAGAGATGGTTATTTCTCAGTGGAAAAGTGGTTGACACTGGTGCATTATTATTGTAATGAAGGTGTCTGATCCCTTTACTCTTTACTTCTGACTTTGGTCTTTCAGTTCCTCATATGGCTGTTAGAAGTTCCATCACAAAACAGAGGTAATACTCATGTTCAAGAGACACTACAGTGAATCCTCATATGTTTTTTTTTTAATTTATATGATCCTAAATGCTGTTGGTTCAAGTTTATTTCATTTGTCATGTTACCCTTGCCATGGTCCCAAGAGTAACATTTTCTGCCAAGCCTCAATAGATTGCAAAGCCAAATATTATTGTTACTACTATTGCCTTATGCAGTCGTCGTCTTCATCCTCATCATCTAATATTTTGTAAGAATTGTACAGAAAGACAACGTAAGATATATATTGATTTTAAAAATAATGACAAAAAATGGACCACAAATGGTCCTGATTTATTTCAATTCTACTCCAGAATTCTCTCCTGGAAAATAGAGTCAAGCATGCTCCATGCAATTGTTGTTTCTTTGGAGTTGATTTCCTGCTTGCTGTGGTGATCTTCTGGAAAGCAGGAGTTCCATTTGGAAATTCAACTTAATTTTTGGAGGCTAAGGGTCCTGTAAAATTGTATTTTGCATATTTCTTTCCTGAGTGGGTGGGATATGGCTTTGCCCATAGGTGCAGCATGCTACCAGTGCAGAAGGCTGTGATCCCTTCCCATGTACCAAGAAAGCCATTTCTCTGCAAGAAGGGAAATGGATGTTGAAATAGGATCCAATATGGGTTGTCATCGGGAACAGAGGTTTGTCTTCCAAGCTTTGGATCCTGCAATATTATCCTGGGACACGTATATTCACCTTCATTCATGATGTTGAAATATTCCATATGAAAAGTATTTATTTACACTCCAAGGAAATAATAACATTGTATTAATCAACTAAACGTGTCTTTATGTCTTTTAAAGACAGCTATACAGATAGTCCTCCGCTTATGACCACAATTGAGTCCAAAATTTCTGATACTAGGTGAGACATTTGTTAAGTGAGTTTTGCCTCATTTTATGACCTTTCTTGCCAGAGTTGTTAAATGAATTTAACAATTGTTAAGTTAGTCACAGGATTGTTAAGTGAATCTGGCTTCCCCATTGACTTTACTTGTCAGAAAGTCACAAGAGGTGATCACATGACCTCAGGCCACAACAATCATCATAAATATGAACCAGTTGCCAAACATTCAATTTTGATCATGTGACAATAGCAATAGCAATAGCATTTAGACTTATATACTGCTTCATAGTGCTTTACAGCCCTCTCTAAGCGGTTTACAGAATCAGCATATTACCCCCAACGATCTGGGTCCTCATTTTACCGACCTCGGAAGGATGGAAGGCTGAATCAATCTTGAGCCTGGTGAGATTTGATCTGCCAAACTGCTGGCAGCTGGTGATCAGTAGAAGTAGCTTGCAGTACTGCACTCTAACCACTGCGCCACCGTGACTCAATAGGGATGCTGCAATGGTTGTAAGTGTGAAAAATGGTTATAAGTCCCTTTTTTCAGTGCCTTATAATTTTGAATGATCATTAAATAAATTGTTGTAAGTTGAGGACTGCCTGTATTGTTGCTATCATGACTTATTCCCACATGCTGTCATTCTGTGGCTTTGGTAACAGCATTATTCACACTCCATCCTGGAGGTTTTCAAGAAGAGACTGGACAGCCATTTGTCCAGAAGTCCCTTCCAACCTTATTAATTTTCTATTCTGTTACATGACCTACACTGTTCATAGACAGAAAGAAAAAATTGCCAGTTTTAGTCATTTTACTGGTTTACTGAAATTATGACAAAACTCTTTCCTTTGGACATAACTCTGGGTGGATGAAAGTATTTTATCCAATTTGTTTCCTATCATCTATCTATCTATCTATCATCTCATCATCGTCTATTTTTCTGAAATGTATTGAGGGTGCTTTGACTAATCCACTAAGTATTTTATTTATTGTGTTTAGTTAGTAATATTTAAATCCTTTTTTATTTGATCTCTAAGACAGCGATGTCAAACTTGCAGCCCATCGGCCAGTTGGGTCACGTGCTGGCCCCGCCTGGTTTAGCGAGGGGGAAAAAAGTCCCAATACGTCATATGACGCCGCCGGGATGACGTTAGTTTGACATCCCTGCTCTAAGAGATTCACTGCCTCTCAGAAATTCAGTGGACTACTTCTGTCCTAAGGAACTTGGATAGGCTGGCTTCTTCTTGGAGATAGGTAGAATGGTTTCACCCTAGCCCACTGGAGGCCAGGTAGACCAGACCCCAATTGGCTGCTGGAGGGTTGTCAGCCATGGTCAAGCCTTCAGAAAGTCAGAAGTTGCTCCTGCTCCCACTGCTTTTTTTTTTTTTTTTTTTGTCCTTGGTCATTCTGTTTCTCTGTTTTGGTAAAGAAACAATGACCCAATAGATCATGAGCTGTCAAATTGCTACCACAAAGGAGACTAGGCCATTTTGAGTCTGCACTTCAAGTAACAGAATATGTAGGACAGTTCCAGGTGCTTTATGAAACATAATTTTAATGTGTTATGTCTACAGACTACCGCAGTTTAGCCATTTTGTGATATTGATGGAGAAAGAGAAACATTGTCATGTTTTGTACTAGGATCTCCTTGGGAAACAAATTATTGGGCACTTTGTGAGGAGAGCTAGACAAATCTTGTATTCATGAATCAGATGGTCTCCTGATCTGTTTATTTTTATATAGCTAGACTCTTTGGAAATGAATAATAACTTACAATTTTTTTTTATCACTTTTCCCTTTTTCTCAGTCCAACATTTTGGATCATTGAACCAAAGGGAAATATGAGAATTATTGCAAAGTACCTAAAAGCAATGCTACTGATTGGATTGTCTGTTGAATCCATTATTGTTGACATACCTTTTATATGATTTCTCTTTGAATTTTTTATTTCTGGGTTCCTAAGTAAAAGTTGATATCCTTTGAAAGGTGCTTTTATTGCATATTTTCCAAACATAACCTGCTGAGCATACATCTCATCTTAGGCACAGCAGACTGTTTTGATTTTATTCAATATTTATATTGCCATTACTTTGAAGATTTTTGCTGCACTAAACTCTGTCATACTCAGTTTTATTAAAGGATATGAATTCCCTTTCATGTGTGGCAATTAGATTTTTATTTGTTAAGGAATCTGCTTCCTCTTTGCTTTATTCAATAAATTCAACACAGGGAATTATTACAACATGTACGTACTTATCTTTCTTTAAGTTTTGTTAATGGTATTCTGATTCTAGCTGAAAGAGGCCTGTAATTCACATAGGGGCTTTCTCATTTTTTTTTTTTATTTGATTTATATGTCGCCCTTCTCCGAAGACTCAGGGCGGCTTACAATGTGCTCAGCAATAGCCTTCATCCTTTTGTATGTTTATACAAAGTCAGCTTATTGCCCCCACAACTGGGTCCTCAATTTACCTACCTTAGAAAGGATGGAAGGCTGAGTCAACCTTGAGCCTTGGCGAGATTCGAACCCTGCAGTAATTGCAGGCAGCTGGTCTTAATAACCAGCTTAATAACAGGGTGCCTTAAACCCCTGTACTACCAAGGCTCTTTATAGAAGATCCCACTTTAGAGGATGGATCAAAATCAAGATGTAGTGGATATATATTCCCTAGTGTTTGAGGGGCTATTGTTATATTTTCTAAATTTTCTCAGCTAAAAAAGAAAACCAGAAAGTGAAGTTGAGATTGCAGCAAGAATGTGAACTTACATTCTGTTAAGTCTAACTTGGAGTGAATCTGCAATCTGTCGTGTGATTTCTCAAATATTTATTTCCTCTGAAAAACAGGCATTTATTTTTCAGCTTGAGTCGCAGGGTTCTTGAGGGTTTATTTTACATTTCTGTTGGTGATATTTTTTAGCTTTTCTTTTCTTTTTTTTAAGTGAGAGGTGGTGCTACTATTGCTTTTCTTGGTTTCTACCTACCTGCCCAAACTTGACAGTTTGAAGACAAAAAGGGAAATCATGTTTCCCCTATCAGTGAAAATTGAAATTCTCTTTAAAATAAAGCTCAAAAGCGTATTCTCTATCATCACATTGAATGACAATTTTTTAAAGAAAAAAAAACACTATAATTTTTTTGGTGTGGTATAAACCTTAGATAGGATTTCTATTAAACAAGAGTGGGAAAAATGGAAGAAAGCTACAAACGAAAGATGGTGAACCCGGATCCTTTCCACTGCTAGGAAAAGCCCAAGCAGGAGGCAGAAATAAAATAAAGGTTTATGTGGAAGCACCCTATCTCTACTGAAGTAAATTGATTGATCTTAATGATATCTGAAAAGATGAACCTGGTTATACCAGTTTTAGGAACTGGGGTGAGAACGGTTATGATACAGAGAGAAAAGGTAAGTGTAGAAATGAGTGGTAACTCTGGCAGTTGCCGTATTTTGTTGAAAAATGGGATTGGCATCGTGGAACCAAGAAAGTTTGGTAAACTATGCAGGCAGATTTCATGAATATTTCTTAAGACTTTCT